CCAGGAGATCATAGTAATTTTTGTTTAGGAGGACCAGTTCCTTCTGTTTATTCCCCAAACTCCTAGCATTAGCGTACAGGCACGTAAATGTGCTAGTGGAGGCCCTAGGTTTCCTTGTCCTCATGGAGAAGCTCTGTTCCTGGGCTGGGGTAGGAGTGGGTTCCCTTGAGCATTCTAACTTGCTGGTTTTGTGGTTTATGCACAGTGAGCTTGCTCTGGTGGTTGTCTGCCCATCCCCCATAGTTTAAAGCCCGGTTGAGCAAGTCAGCCATTTTGGCTGAGACGAGCTTCTTTCCCAGTGGAGTGAGGTGGAGGTGATTTCTTCCCAAAGGACCACTGCCTCTCTCTGAAGAATGGACCGTGGTCACAGAGGCCAAAGACTTCACCGTGGCACCAGTGTCACAGTCTTTTCTTTACTGCCTCAATTCATCTCTCCCTCCCCTGCCGTGACCCATAACTGGAAGGACTGAGGAAAAAACCACCTGTGCCCCCAACCCTATGAGCCCTCCTCCCAGAGCCCTGTAGCCACTCATGACCCTATGACTCTGCTGTGATTGCTCTAAGCCATGCCATTTGTGCCCACATGGATAAAGAGCATAGGGTAGTAGTCAGAGAGCCGGATATGTTTTGGGATCCTCTCAGCCACATCCCGGATACAGGTTCCTGATAGGCAGCAGACCTCCCTGGTTAAAAGGTCAGGGCATGTGACAGGAGTGCCTCTTCTGGAGTCCCTCTATCGGTGACCCTGCCCTCCTGTTATGGGCCAACTGCCTGCCTTCTCACCTGCCATGCCTTGATCTTGATTAATTGATGTAATTAAGCGGGAGGTTGCCCATTTTCTGCCCCACTGCTAGGGGCACTATCTGCGGCTCCTTTTCCTCTCCTACACCTCAGCCTCACAGATGATACCGACATGGTTTGATCCTTGTTGTGATTTGGCCCTCCCCTTGTCCTCCCTGGGCTTTCCACAGCCCTATCTCACTCTGCACCTTGCTGGCGCTCAGGCTCTCCATAGCCCTGTCTGGCACTGCACCTTCACTGGCACTCGCTACCCCCCCGGGGCTTCTCACCACCCCCCCCAGGGCTTCTCACCACCCCCCCCTCTCTGGGGCTGGGGTTTCCCACGCTGCTGCCAGTCCCCTATGACACCTCCTCCATCCCCTAATAGCCTCACCCAAACCGCTGGTAAAAACAAACACAAACACAAAGCCCCTAGGCTATAACAAAAATCCAAGCTGCCTGGTTAAAACATAATTCAGTCTCTACCAGGGAATACTCCATCCCATATCAGCAACAGGAGCTACTCAGGTAGTCAGGCCTCTTTACTTTTCTCCCTCAGACAGAGCTCCTTCCCCCTTGGCTGCCAGCAGGGAACTGCTCTCCTGGCCTCAGGCCTGGGGTTTATGTGGGGGCCAGGCCCTGCCCCTTTTGGTCAGCTGACCAGATGCAGGTGTGGCCAATTCCCTCCTTAACCGGTTGTCCCGGCAACCGACACCTGGGTTCCTACCTCTGCTCTGAGTGTTGCAGGCACCTTAGTGTCCTGCTACAGGGTGACAGATTGCTCCCTCTGTCCCCCTCAGGAGGGAGTCATCCACAATGACCACTCTGTGTTTCATCTTGGGATGATATCTGGTCATGTTTCTTCCTCACTTGCAATAACTGGCAGCTCTGCAGGCTCTACTGATGCTGAAAGAGGTTTGTACCTGTTGCAGAGATCCGGGCTGGGGGGGTGACCCTGGTACAGTGAGACTTGGGGCTGGAGACAACCTCTGTTCAGTCCCTTGGCTGGACAATATGGGAGTGCCTCTTGGCCTCCTTGGTCCTGGCAGGCTACCTAGGTCACTCTTCTGTCCTGGGGTGAAGCAACTGGCAGCAGGAGTCAATTTCCTGTTTGCCAACCCAGATGGCATGAAGCCCCTGCACCATGGTCTGGAGCTTCACTATCTGGGATTCCAGAGACTCCAATATGGATCAAACCTCATAAGGGGAGGTTGCAGTGCTTCTGATCCCATGTGCCTGGAGTCGTGCCAGACAGCCCCCACAGCCAAGAGCCAGGGGCTCCATCTGAATGGAGGCTGGAACTATGGGTTCTGTCTGGGTGTAGGCCTCAGAAGTACCAGAGGGGAGGGATCTAGCCACAGGGGGGAGACTTGGGGTGTGATGTGTCCCACCAACCATTGCATCAGTAGTTGTTTGGCTACTAATGTCCCAACTACTCTGTTGCACAGCACTCAGGTGCTCTGTGCCTGAGAGCAGAAGAACAACTTGGGGGAGACCCCTGGTGGCAAGATGGGGGAGGCTCAGCTGCCAGTTGCCTGGGCAGCCACAGTAACAGGTGCTGGTTGTCAGGACAACCGCTGGGGAGCCAGCTGACAGGAAGGGGCAGGGCCTGGCCCATATAAACCCTGGCAGAAGGCCAGGAGGGTAGTTCCCCTCTGGCAACCAAGGAAGGAGGAGCTTGGCCAGTGCAGGCAGAGGGGACAACTCTGACTGTGTGAGCATCCCTGGGGCACTGCTGGGGTTGCAGTATTTCCTGGTAGGGACTGAATGTTGTTTGGCAGATGGGTTAGTTTTTATGTTATAGCCCAGGGGGCTTTGTGTTTTTGCATTTGTTGTTATACTGGAGGACTGGGTGTGGCTATTAGGGGTTGTAGGAAGTCTCATAGGGGCTCCACAGTAGCATGGGGGCCCAGTGCCAGAGAGGGCACAACATTCAGGGGTGTATTGACCCCAGCCCCGGGGTGGGTGGTTGCAAGATGCCCCAGGGTGGACAGTTGTGAGACAAGCCAGAGAGTGTCTGTGTGGCCTGGAGAGTGGGACAGACCTGAACAACATCAGGTACATCTGCGAGGCTTAGGCTGTGGTGTAAGGAGAGGAAAGGAGCCGCAGACAGTGTCCCAGGCACCAAGACAGAAAATGGGCAGCCTCCTGCTTGATTAATATCTTCTAATCAAGCAAGTAACAACAAGGCGTGGCAGATGAGAAGGTGGGTGGTTGGCCCATAATTGGTGTTGTGGGGTCACTAGTAGATGGACCCAAAGAGGCACTCCTGTCACATTCCTTTGAGGCTTGCTACCTAGGGCCTCAGGCCCTTCCTGTACAAACTCCCACACTAACTTGCGCACTGGGTCTAGAAGCATGCCTGTTTGCACATTCTGTTCATGAGGCTCTGGTTGCATGGGCCAAGTAGGAGGGTTGTGGTACACAGTGGACTATGGGTTGTTTTTTAATTCAAAAAGTTATCTTCCACCCAAAAAGGTTGAAGACCAAGGGTTCAGATTATGGTTTAGATAGGGATCATCCTGACTCATGCAGCGGGTTTGACTAGATGACCTCTGGAGGTCCCTTCCAGCCCTACTTCTCTATGATTATCTACTCCACCTCAAAATTTGCTAGTCTTCAGAAGAAAATTCAAGATTTACAGTGCCAGACAGAAAATGCACAACAGAGTATGAATCTACAGCCAAGTGATATAGGCACTCTCCTAGGAGGAAATAATGACTTCCAGTGCCTACTGATTATTTTCCATTTAGCAGGCATATACAGTGTTGAAAGCATAGACCAGAAACCTATCTGGTTAGGGGACTTAGGACTAGGCCTATGCAAAGCAGCAAGTATTTGCTTCAGATTAGGCTGATTCGGAGGGACAGTGATTTGATTCGGAGACTCAAGTTACTGTCCTGATTTGATTAGAACAAATCGGATCCAAAGATTTGGCGCCGCTTCGGAGATTCAGCCATAGACTATACAGGCAGCAGTCCTCACCATGCCGGACACAGCTGCCTCCAGTTGGTAAGTCCACTGGAGTTGGGGGAGGGAGGGATTGGGGCTGGGACAAGCTGCCCAGCTGGGGTGGGGGGGCACAGGAGTGCTAGGAGCAGGGACTATGCCCTGCTGCCACTTGCCCAGCCAGGGCGGGGGGAGGGAGAGAAGGGGCAGGATGCAGGTGTGGCTCACTCCAGGTGGAACAGACAAACCCACAGTTGGCCCTGATCACTGAGTGGGACTGCCTATAGACTTGCTCAAGTGCCCCCATCTAGCCCAAGTAAAGTGCCTGGATGTGGCTGATGCATCTAAGCAGCAGCTGTGATAACTGTGACTCAACAAGACAGGTTCCCTTTCTATGTAGCCCATGGTCTTCATTCTCCTTGCCTCACTCCTGAGAGAACTCTGAACCCTGAACTCCCCAAGACCAGGTCATACCCATGACAGACATCTATGAAATTTTAGGCACCTAAATGGTTAGTCAGGGATTTGGTGCTTGTGCTTTTGGCCTCTAGAACCTTCATTCAGTCTAGGTTACATTTTAGGTTTCTAAGAGCTCTGCTGGATGTTGCCAGTTGTTCTCAACTGCTCTCACCAAATGGCTTGCTGCTTTTTCCGCAGAAAAAAATAAATATTGCAAGAACTATGAAAGTGATTTCAGTTGTTACATTTATTTCATAGAATCATAGATATTTTTAGAGGCATCAAAATTGACAAACTATGCAAACACTAAGTCCAAAATTAATTTAAAAGAAACAAATTCTAGTTTCTTCCCCAGGAAAATGACTTCAGAAAATTTCCCATATTTTCTAGTTTTCCACATAGACATAAAGCAGAGACTATGATTTCAAATCATAAAAAGTGTATTCTTCATCAAGATTACTCTCATTATGTTTTTGGAAATTGACTGTAATTACCTCAGTTATTTTTACTTATGTAGTGGAGATTGAAACTTGCATTAGATTTATCTTACGCTTAGAAAGTGTGGCTCTTTTTCCCCATTTATGTGATCTTAAACTCTCCTGATAAGAGTCTTTACATACACTACAAGTTTCACCAGCATGAAGGAAACAGTTGAAGGCCTTTGTGTATTATAATGAGAACAGACGCAAAACAGGCATGGGAGCATAAAAGCTTCCATATATAATTATGGAATTGGTGGTACGATATTTTTAGAAGTGTTTTTATAAAAAGAGGGGAGTAAAACTGACATTAAAAAATCATTGATAATTTACCTGTTATATAGCTTTTCATAGTTTTCCTTCAAAAGATCCCTCTCCTTTTCCAGGTCATTAATTCTTTCCTGCAACTAAAATGAAAAAGGAAATTAGAAGTAATACAGAGGCTGAGGAAGAAATTGAAATAAAATTATAAAGGTAATTAGTTTATAGTATACAGACATTGACAACAAGGCCTTTAGCTGTTGTTTTCATGGAATAACTTAAGTCTCTTAGAAGCTGAAAAACATTTATGCTTACTTGTGCAATATTTTACTGTAAACATAATTTCTTCCAATCAAAATACACATTTTGAAATTTAAAATAGCTTTGATACATGCAACAGACCAAACTCATCATCACATTAAAATCTCTGCTGTAATTAAATCAGCTATCCATCAACACGAAACTTCAAATGCCAAATACTTGTAAGTAAGAAAAGAGGCCCAGCCTGAAGAAGATCCAGAACACGCAATGATTACAAGGTAAATTAGGCATATAAACAGTATCTAAGTGGTTAAATGCAATCCTATTCTACCCTGATTCAGTCCATGAAAACTGCTAATGCAAAGGTGGATGGGTCCTCCTCCTTTTTGCCAGGGTAAAATAAGATCTCTTTAAATGCCATTTAGAAAACAGAATAGAATCCAGGGAATCAAGGGTGCAGACAGAAGTACAGGCTCCCCACTTTAACTGAGAACACTTTGAAGGAAACATTCTGAGTTACAATGATCCCCCAGACCAAACAGAAGTTCACTGTTGGTTCCAGGGAGAAAGGGAATCTGGCTGCTGACTGGGAGCCTGCAACACACAAACTCCCCCCAGAAGTGGTGCAAGCACCTACTCTGGACTTCTTCAGAAATATTTCTTGCTGGGGTCACTCAATCCCAGCTGACTTTCTGCCTATGGTTGGGGGGCTGGACCCGATGACCTCACAAGATCCCTTCCAGCCCCTAATGTCTATGAAATCTATGAACACATTTCCTCTCTCTCAGCCTATCTGCTTCAGAATGGGAGGGGGGGAAAGGGAAGAGAGATCTCATTCTAGGGGCTCCTCAGCTGGCACTGGAGGGTCAGGTGGGTGAATGGGAGTCCACTCACTTGTATTGGAGCTTCCCCTTCCCACCTGCCCCACGCTCCCATGGGGCTAAAAAAACCCACAGACTGAACTCCTTCCACTCCCTTTCCCCCTCCCATTCTGAAAACAGCTCGAGGCTTGGAGGTAGTGCAGACAGAAGTTACAGAAGACACTCTGTTTTGAAATGCCTTTATCTGACCCTTCATGCAATGAGGGTTCAGATTTTCACCAGACTGGCCATTTTTAAAGCAGTCTGCAGCCATGCACTTGTTTCATTATGGCTATAGACTGCTTTCTGTGAACAGATCAGGCAAAAATGGTCACTTCTGTCTGCACCCCGAATGTTAAACAAGAGCCACACTCTTACTTAACAAATAGGTAAAGGAGCAGCAATTTTAACAGCAAAATTCAGGTGATGTTTTTCATTAAATTCTAATTTGCATTCTAAATAATGCCAAAGACAGACTTTAACGTAGCATGATGCCTGAAACACCTGAAGTCTTACCTCTTCTATCCTACATTTTGAAAAAGTCATTGACCTTAATTCTTTTTCAAGTTGGAAGCACTTTAAACGTTGTTCTTTAAGCTGTAGATTAAGCTGATCTCCATTTGCCATTAAAGCATCATGGCTGACCTTAAGTTTCCTTTGATTCTATCAAAAAGAAAAGAGAAAAAATGTTATGCCTTCAGTAACATAATGATGACGATCCCTGATATGTATAGTATGTATTCAAACAGGGGTTGTTGATATGTCATAACCAACATGTAATGTATATTCTCAATTCAGTCAACAGGAGACCCTCTTGTACCAAGTTTGACTCATTGCAGATATTGAAAAATTGGCAGGCAGAAAGGCAGCATTTTCCCTCTTTCCTCAATATTAAACCATCATAGTCTACTTATGATGACAAGGACCAAGAAATACAAATGTATTTGTTAGGCAATTAAAAGATTTTGTTGTGGTTACAGTAGTTAGATGAACTGACCAAAACACTGCAGTAGCAAACAAAACTGAAGGCTGACCACAGCTATGCTAATTGCCTAATTTGCCAGAGCTTGGCTCATTCACAGTTTTAGATATTTAATTATTTTACATTACTAATTCAATATGTTAGTAATGTATAATTAACTTTGCTGGATTACATTAAGTACACTTCAACCACATTTTAATATTAACAGGGGATATCAGAATTCACATTTCCATCCAAAAGGATCACATCCTCTACATTTCAGCACTTTAACAATACCTTATTATGAAAAAAAAATCATTCTAAAGCACATTCAAACAATTTATGCCTTTTAGACTGTTTTGTCCAGATCAATCTGCTATTTAATATAGTCTAAACTCACACAAGTAACTTTGATTTAAATGGGAGTCTTAAAAAGCCCAAAGTGGAATCAGCCTACTCTATATAGTTTTCTGTAAGCAGCCTAGTTTAGATTGGTAGCAAACAGAACACACATTTGCCCTTTGAGCAGGAGGACAAATTTTAGACTAGGTTCCCCCATTTTTAAAACAGTCTGTGCGCGCTGAACTTTCTGTTCTGTTATTGGTACAGATGGGTTTCTAATCACTTACACGAGTGCAAGTGTAAAGTCTGTACCTTGCCTTGTTGATAATTTTGAACAGAACAAATTTGACTTGACATTTTTTAGAACCCTATGCCATATGATATTTCTAAAAGGAGTCTAAGACACAAGCTAACAGAAAACTATACAATTTCCTTTGGTCTTTTCTGAGAAGCTTGAGTGCATCACTACTCCTCTAAAATGCCTTTTTGGAAAGAAGCCACCTACTTACCTTTAGCTGCTGTTTAGCTGCTTTTATCCACACACAAAAAAACCCAACTTATTTCAAAGAGTAAATGCATTAGAGACTCTTATGTCACAGAAAATGAATAATAAATAAAACATTACCTATTACCTTTTTATTATGTATTTCCAGCATTTGACTTCCTCTTCAAGCTCTCATTTTGCCCTACCCATGCCTCCAAACATGACTTGATTATCTTCTTCAAAAAGAAAATGGATGGAATCTACTGAAACATCTTTCACCCCACCTCTTCTCTCACTCTCTTTCTTCAAACTCCACTGCTCTTCTTCTTTAATATCAACCACTATCGCTAACCTTTCCATGAGCCTCAACAATCCCATTAACTCCCTTACCACCTCCTTACATTCAATGTCTCTTCATTTATCCTCTCTCTTGCTTTGGTACTCAACTTCTCTGTCACCAGGAACAATGGGCACAAGCTGATGGAGGATAGGTTTAGGTTAGGTATTAGGAAGAACTACTTCACTGTAAGGGTGGCCAGAGCCTGGAACAGGCGTCCCAGAGAGGTGGTGCTCTCACCTTCCCTGGAACTCTTCAAGAGGAGACTGGATAGGCACCTGGCTGGGGTCCTATGACCCCTCCCACCCCCAGTGCTCATTCCTGCCCATGGCAGGCTGTCGGACTTGATGATCTGTCTAGGTCCCTTCCGACTCATTGATTCTATGATTCTCATCAGCCTTTGGTTCCTTCCCCTTCAACATATGCCTGTCCTGTTCTCTTATCCTTACAAACACAATATTGGAAACTACAACTGCTTACAGACGTGGAAACCCCCCCCCCCCCCCCAAACAGCTCAGTGCACCCCTGTGCTGAGTGCAGTGCATGCCCAGAAAAGGCATCACATCAAATTTGACTTGGCCCACCTAATGTCTGAACCAAATTTGACTTGGCCCACCTAG